CATCTGAGTGTGCACTCCATACAGGGGGGCTTGGAGATGATGTCTCATCCACAGAGTCCCCATGAGTTGGGATCGACTTGAAGGTGGTTAACAACAACAAAATAATCTGAATTATAAGCCATTGGTTAGTGATACCAAACACACTCCCTTTGTGTCAGCTTCCTGATTGCCTCAGCATTCACAAGTGAGCATGAAATGACAGTATGAGCTGGCACCACAACCACATGATGTTCCCAGCGCTTGGAAATAATGTGTTAAAAGTAGCAACATTACCTGCAGCACATTACGATGGCACAACAACATTCATTTTGCAACGTAACAGCTGGTAGCAGAGAAAACCAAGAGTGCTGGTGTCATGAATCACATTTACTCCTGACTGGAGAGTGGTGTGTGTGTGTGTTTGTTTAAACCTTTGACTGAGGGGTCATTCAGATGTTGTTTTTTTAGCACCATGATGCAAATAATCTCAATCACATATTCCGAGTTTGTTATTCACACTATGGAACCGCATCTATGCACATCTCTGTGGGTTCAGGCACTCACATTTGCCAGCAATTGAATAAAGATGGAGTCGATGAGAAGAAGAAAAAAAACTGGGGGGGGGGGAACAATAACTATTATCCTGGGTTAAGTGGGATTTTGTTGGCAGCTCACTACAAAACTTAATTTGATGCATTCAAAATGCATGTGAACAACAAAGTCTTAACCCAGATTCAACTCAGATTATGTTCACTGTCTGAATAAGCCCAGAGTGAGAAGACTAGAGTAGAGAGGAGCTTGGTCATTTAGGTAATGTTTTTTCTTTTTCTTTCTTTCAATGTGAAACATCTGCATTAGGTTCAAGGTTGTGGAAGTGGAGTTGAGCCATTGTACATGCCACAGTTTATGTTCATGTGTGTATATGAGAATGTGAGAGTCAATGTTTATGAGCATCAATAAATGTCTGGTTGTGTATTCAGTGGCACATTTGATGTCTCATTATCAATAAATAACATCACACAAAATGACAACTCAAGGACATCTGATGAATTGTGGATATGTTTTGATGGTTTCTCTCCCCCTTCCTAGTGAGGAATGCCTCTATTCCCCTCCGCCAGAGATTTACTGATATTTTTACTTAAGAGGGGAAACCTACAAATTTGCTTTCAATCTGGAGTATGGGAGCACTTCTGTGACCAATTTGCCATTGATTTGGTTTTAATAGCCCAATTCCCATCCAAAGAAGAAACCCGGGCTGCACCTACACTGCAGAATTAATGTAGTTTGACACCACTGTGACTGCCATGGCTCAGTGCTGTGGGATTTGTAGATTTATGAGATATTTAGCCTTCCCTGTCAGATATCTCTGGTGCCACAACAAATTACAAATCCCTGGATTCCATGGGATGGACCCATGACAGTTAAAGCAGTGTCAAACTGCATTAGTTCTGCTGTGCAGATTAGAATTAAGTTACATAGGAGTTTATCACATGGGGGAAATTGGGACTTTAAACAGTAATTAACCAGAGAAAATCACTCAATTGACATTAAAACATGATTAAAATGAGATTAGCACAAGAGCCATTATCCTGTGAATAACCAGGGAACAACCAGACAATAAACAGCAAAAAGTCATTCACAGGAAAATCCCATGAATGATTTGCTGCTGTTTCTTGCCTGGTTATTCATAGGTTAATGGCACTTAAATCACATTTCACCTGGCCATCATTGAAAACCATTAGTACAACTGCGTGATAATCATGGGTTATTCATGGGATAATATCACTTTGAAGGCAACGTTGTGTGAAAACCATTAGTGCAATTGTGGGACTATCATGGGTGTTATAATGGGTTAATCACCGTTTATGCTTCCAATTGTCCCAAGTGTGATAAACTCCATAGAGGTGATCAGATAATCATCACCAGTCAGCAAACTTTGCTTGTTAAGTATTGGCTAAAGAAGGACAAGTGAGACTGAGGAACTTACCCAAGACCAGAGGCTGTACCTGTCACTAGCGATCATTGACTGCTTGTATGTTATGATCCTCAGAAAGGTGACAGCATCATCCCCAAAAGGACATGACTCAAGGCAGAGACAGTGAACGGGGATTCACAAGCCATGCATGAGACAAGCACAGCCTTTGAAATTTTCAGTTCTTTATCTGGCTTTTTATATCTCCCTGTGCAACAGACTTGGTGATGTTGACTCTGTATTTAGATTGGAAGCCACAAGGGGAATCTTGCCAAGAATGAAATCCTAACTATTGATTAGACTAGAGCTTGGAAATGTTGGCCAGTATTATTTGACAGTGGCTTCTTAGGACACATCCAGACTGATTGAAAAGTCCGAGATTTTGTTCCTGTTCTTTCTGATTTTATCCTGGGTTAAAAAGTAGGCAGGAGTTTTGAAGTTCATTGATCAGTAAGTGGATCAATCAATGTCTGGATCCAGAGCTATTGGTGCACCAAGCCTATGTGCAGCTGTAATCAATAAATGCTGCAGCCTATTTTGTTCCAAACAAAAGGGGTATGTGAGCATGTGTTTGTGTATAGAGTTTGACGCCTCTGAACACAGAAATAATACAGTACCAATATCATTTGCCACACACATTCTTTGGCTGAGCCACACAATATGTTTCCTGCCACAACACCTATTTGCCACACACGCCATTGCAACTTGCCCTGAAAAATTTTGGGAGAACCATTGCAAAGGAATTGGGGGAATCACTGCAATTCAAAGTGATGCTCACTATAAAGCTCTATACGGCTTCGGTCCAAACTATCTGAAAGACCTATCTCCCCATACCAACTTTCAAGGGTCCTAAAATTTACAGGGGAAGGGTTTCTCTCCATCCCACCACCATCACAGGCTCTTTTGGTGAGGACACAAGACAGAACCTTCTCTGTGGCTGCTCCCAACCTCTGGAACTCCTTTCCATAGGAGGCTCCCTCATTTATTTTTGCCGGTAGACAAAGACATTTTTATTCAAGCAGACTTTTAATATTTAATCTTTGTCAGGGAGGCTTGTTTATGGGGTGTGTGCTCTATTTATGTTTTTAACTTTTGTATGTTATATGTGATTTTATATGGTTTTAGCAAGATGATTTTACAGTCATTCTGCCATATCCACAGATTTGCCCGTGCTCCTCCTCATCCTCCACTGGTTCTTCTCCTCAGGAGAAAGCCAAGCAGCAGAGAAGCCTTGCATAGCGAGTGTTTCCTGTCCTCCTCCTCTGCCACCTGGCCTTCTTCTCAGGACAAAGCAGGGCAGTGGAGGAGCCTTTCATGGCAAGCATTTGCCCATTCTCTGCTTTTGCCACCTGCCTTTTCATCCAGGGAAAGCCAGGTAGTAGAAGAGCCTTGCATCCAGGGAAAGCCAGGTAGTAGAAGAGCCTCCTCCTTTTATGCATGGTCCTCTCCTCAGGAGGAGGCAGAGCGGCAGGGGAGCCTTGAAGTCACTCCACATCCTTGTGGGCCATCCAAAATCCTTTGGCAGGCCGCAAGCAGCCCCTGGGCCGTATGTTGTGCAGGTCTGCTCTAAAGTCAAGCCTTGGAGGGCAGGGACAGGGGGCACCAGGTCCTCTTTCTCCCTGCCTTCCAAGGCTTGAAAGTCAAGCCTTGAAGGGCAAGGACAGGGATGGGGGATGCCAGATCCTCTCCCTCCCTGCCACATGTGGGGTCACTCACCGGGTGCTCACCAGGTGTCACCTCTCACTGGATGCTCACCAGGTGCCACCAGGTGCCACCCGGTACAGCCCGCACCCCCGCACCCCCCCCCCCGAGTGACACATCAATTGGAACCATCAATTAGAGTTGCCAAAAGAGGTGACCACACCTGACATTGCCCTCTCTTCCAGACTCTTGCTGTCAAGAAAAAAATATATGGTAGAGTCACATTTAAGGTGCAAACACCTCCACAGATCAAACTGAGGAAGTGGGAGGGGTTCAACTGGATTAAACTGGGAAGGAGGAACAAAATTATTCAAGGGTTTTTGAAGAGGGTGTTATTACTGTTAGTTGTAAGGGTGTTGTCTGTCCCCCCCCCCTTTATTTTGTTGTGTTGTTGCTGCTATGTCCCCTCAAGTCAATTCTAATGCATGGGGACCCTATCCTGGGGTTTTCATAGCAAAATTTATTTAGAGGAGGTTTGCCAAAGCCTTTCTCTGAGTGAGCGGCCCTGTCACCTGCTACTTGTCCATGGTGGCACACAGTGTCTCAGAAAGATCCTCTCTCCATTTTTGAGCGAGTCATATGTAAGTTGTGGATCTTAGAGCATGTCTATTGCTCTATTGGTTGTGTCTATTGGCAAAGCAGCACAGGAAGTAAACTCACCCCCCAGAACCATGGGAAAGCTGGCAACAAATTAAAAATTGATTATTATCACCCGAATATGTCAAAATGAGCTTTCACAGCTTTGCAATTGTGCAATTAAAGTGGTATTGTGAAAGAATTAATTCCCTGTGAATGAAATGTTGCTGGATCATTCCTCTTTCTCGCCGTTGTAATAATGGGTTATGCACAACGTCATGTAAAATTGTATCGCGCAATTGTACGATTATAGCGAAATTATCGCAGGAATATCCCTGCTGAATTTCCCCATGTGATAAAGTCCTATGAGAGACTGGGATTTGCTCAGGGTCACCCAATGGCAGGGGTAGGCAACCTTTCCCCTTTAAGGGCCAAGGGACTTCAGTTCCCAGAAGCCTCAGCCATGTTGGCCAATAGTCCCTGGTTGGCCAATAGCTCCTGGGATTCTGGGAGCTGAAGTCCCTCGGCCCTTAAAGGGGAAAGGTTGCCTATCCCTGCCCAATGGGTTTCCATGGCTGTGCAGGAATTCAAACCCTATGCTGACTCTCTTATCCCTGGGTGGAAATACTCTAGCTGTGACATTTATTCACTGATAATTGCCTGACTAGACTAATGCAAGGGGTTTTCTTGGCAAGTTTCTTCAGAGGGGGTTTGCCATTGCCAACCTCTGAGGCTGAGAGTAACTTGTCCAAGGTCACCCAGTGGATTTGCATAGCTGTGATGGGATTCAAACCCTGGTCTCCAGATTCATAGCCCAACGCTCAAACCACTAAACTACACTAGCTGTCTTATTTACAAGTAATTTCCTGATGAGACTACTGCAATATGTTCTATATGGGTCTGCCCTTGGAAATAACTTGGGGGTCATTCAGATTTGATTTTTAATTTTTTTTTTTAGTGGAACAATGCAAATTACCTCACTCATGTATTCCGGGTTTGTTATTCACAATATGTCTGCACATCTCTGGAAGTTTGGTTGCTCACATGTGCCAGCACTCGAATAAGCATGGAGTCGATGATATGAATGTATCATCAACAACTGGACATGCATGCAAACAGCCACCTGGTGTGACTCTGGAGTGCCCCAGGTAATGGGGGTACATTAGGGGAGCTTCGGGGCCAGAATATTCCAGGCTCCTCCTGGAGTATTCTGGCCTGAATACACTGTTATCATTTGGGTTTGCAGGAGTCTTCATTCTGAGACTCATTACGGCCCTGCAAGATGCATTACCTTTTTAATGACTGGGTCCGACCTAATCCAGGTGGAAAGTCCCCACACAGAATGGTCCTCCAGGAGTCACACACAGCAAAATGCCCCAGAGCAGGCGTGAGTGGGTATAAATAAAAGAATGCTTCAATGACCTTGGGCCCAGAAATCTAGCCTTATTTGTCTGTGTCCCCTCTGCAGCCGCCTTCCCTGGGTGATGCTGTCACCACAGTTGGTGCTCCTCCTGACAGATGGATGGAGACACTCGAGCGGAGAGGTCTGCTGCCTGTACTTGCTGAGGGATGCAGGCGGCAGGAGGGAAAGGAGATGGCTGCAGCTTGGCAGCCCCACGGGAAGGAAGCCTGGGAAAACCCATAAGCAAACGTCTTTCCTCCACTCAGTTTTGGAGTCATGCCAGAAATAGTGCAAACTGAGTCCACTTTAAGGGTTAGGGTTAGGGAATCATGGGAACTGTAGTTTATTGTGGCACCAGAGCTCTCTGACAGAGAAGGCTCAATGTCTCAGGAAAAAATACAATTCCCATGATTCCCTAGCACTGAGTCTGGGCAGTTAAAGTGGACTCAATTTGCAGTATTTCTGGCAGTCTGCAAAGGCCGGTACTCAACATTCTCCCCATAGAAAAACATGCTTGCACCCTAAATCAAGGGTGGGGAACTGTAAAGGTGGCAGGAGATGCAACTGGAACACATATAGCAGGGGTCCCCAAACTACGGCCCTTGGGCCGAACCCGGCCCAGCAAGGCCTTTCAACTGGTCCATGGCCGGTCCTGCCGCCGCCGCCACCACCGCGCATGTGAGATACAGGGTGCCATTTTGGAATACAAAACGGCGCCGGAGTAGTGCACATGCGCGTGTGACGCCGAGCGCATGCGCACGACTCCGGGCGCCATTTTGGAACATGACTTAGGGAACTGGGGATGTTTAGCCTGGAGAAGCTTGGATGTCATATTGAGGATGGAGCAAGTTTGTCTTCTCCTGCACCACAGACTAGGACCTGAAGCAATGGATTTAAACTACAGGAAAAGAGATTCCAACAGTAAGAGGTGTCTGAGAATGGAAAACGCTGCTGCCTCAGAGTGTGGTGGAGTCTCCTTCTTTGGGGGTTTTTAAACAGAGAGTGGATGTCCATCTGTCAGCGGTGCTTTGATTGTGTGTTCCTGCATGGCAGGGGAGCTGGACCGGATAGCCCTTGGGGTCTCTTCCAACTCTGTGATTCTGTGATTCTCTTCCAACGCTATGATTCTAGCAACCCACTTCTGTCCACATTGTTGACAATTTTTGTGTGCTGAGTTTCAAGGAAGGAAAAAACCAGAGGGCACTTTCCTCATCTCCTCCCTCCAAAGTGACATCTCCTTTCGGGAAGCAGCAGAAGATTTACAGTCCCTTAGAAATTTCTTAGTTCATGAACGAGAAACGCAACTCCGAAGGACCCTGAGGCAGCTACTAATCAATCTTTCCTTCCTAGTCTGACTCATATACCTGTCTTGGCCTTCAGCAAAGTCTGAAATATAAAAGCCACAGAACAGAAGTTCAGAATTCCCCCCCTCCCTTCCTTTAATGTCTCCTTTCCTACCTCTGTTTGCTGAGCAAGAGAGATTCCATCTCAGGGTTCAACCAACATTTTATGGGGAGGGGAGACTCAGGTGGAACTTGAAAGCCTTCATTTCCCAGCAGTTCTTTTAATAACCGTCTCCCACTCTAATTTTTGACAAGGGTTTCTTGAGTTGGTTTAGTAATTTGCTAAGTGCCGTCAAGTAGAATTTGACTTATGGTGACCCCATGAATGAGAGACCTCCTAGAGGTTATTCAGATGGTGTAAATATTCCTGGTAGAAAATGGGTTGAATCTGTGTTCTTCATCTTAATTTTGAATGAATCCCACAAAACCCAGGATAATCGATCTTGGGTTTTGTTGGGGGGGGGGCCTTTGGAGTGAATAATCGATACGGATAGACCCAGGATAAAACTCTGCATTCCTTGAACATGTTTTGAATACACCCACCTCATTGACTCCATCTTTATTCACAGTGTTGACACATGTGTCCCTTTCTGGGAGAAAGGTGGCATAGAAATCAGTCAATCAATCAAACAAACAAATGTGAGCAACAGAACTTGGAGAGACGTACATAGGACGTTATCACACCAGCGGCAAGAAAAGCGGCAAGGAATCA